TAAATATTAATAAAATAAATTATAATGTAAAATGTAGCTATTTTAATGGTGGCCATTAAATTAATAATTAAATGAATGGTGATTCCAAACAAGCAAATCAAGAAATCCCTTTTTGTCCTTGTACTCTCATGGGGTCTCATGGTGTCTGTTGGAGTTCACATTAAAGTCACTTCCTACCGAGACTTGTTCTGCCTTCATTCTCGCATAGGAATTTGGGATAGTGTGCCGGTAATGTGTTTTTATCCCTATGTTTAACAAATAGATATTCATGAGTTGGGAAAAATGAAATATACTGTAGAAATCCACACCTCTTTATCCTGTCACTGGGTGACTCCATCTTAGCTGCCGTGTTTAAAAATCGATTACTGAAAATACTGACTAAGGAACAGCAAATCAAAAACAACTATAGAGATTCAGTTACACCACGTGGTCATATTGTGTTAAGCCCATCAAAGTGCCCTGATATCGGTGGGTCCTACACTCATTTTAACATGGGAGATTAACATGCTGACTGCAATACTTGCTGATTAATCTACTTCCAGAGACTCCTCAATTTAAGCTTTCCTGTGGTCACCTCCAATGGGGCACCTATAATGGATGGGTGGGGTGTTCAACCCAATATGAATCTGGTGTGGATTCCAAATATACAATAGAGAAGGGGAATTGTGGGAAGACCTTCATCATTTCTCAACAGTGGTGCTACCGTGAAGAACCAAATATATATAGAATACAGATTTTGAAAAAATACAGCTGTAAATATTAGATTTGTGTATCTTTTTTGTGTGTGCTCTACCTTTCTATATATTTTTTTCTATTTTGGTCCCTATAGCTGCACCGCTGCTGGGAAATTCTTGTTTCGTGTGTACAACCCAATTCACGCTTTTTTTTCAGTAAATATTGATTATGGGCTCTCAGTCTACACCAGCAGTGCCCAAATGAAAGGTCCCCAGATGTTCTAGAACTACCACTTCCATGATGCTTTGCATGCCTTTAGAACCATGGGAGCTGTAGTTTTAAAACATCTGGGGATTTACCTTTTGGGCACCACTAATCTACACTTACAGTGCTGTAGCACAAGTGGTTGTGTTGTTTTTTGTTACTGATTGAATAAATGTAATCTTTATATAGATGTTCTGCAATGCTTGCTGTCCCTTTCTACTAAACTATGTAACACCTGCCACGGTGCCGGACAAGCAAACTGAGGACAAATGAGGGCTTTCCAGAGATACAACTTTACTACTTTCTGGTGACAAAGCCAAACTCTTATGGATTTCTATGGAATTATCTAATTGTTGGTTTATGTTTTACTTTTTACTTTACCGTATAACCTAGTGATTCTATTCAAGCTTTTTTTACATTCTATTTTATGATGAAAACTATATGTAAAAATATTTTTTTTAAATTGAATTTTTATATTTTTTAATATAATATTTTTACTGTAATATTTTTTTCCCATATCAACAAAATATAAAAAATACAAAAAATTAAAGAAAGAAAACCTGTATAGATCATAATATATGTAGCAAATGTGTTTAGATGAATTTAAAATATATATATATTTTTTTTAAATTTAGCATTGACATCACGCTGCCTGATGCTGACGCACCTTGCTGAATAAATAAGCAGATTCGGGTTAATAATTGCTTTAGCATATCCTCATGTAGTCTAAATGTGTATTTGTTTAATGGCCATAAAACGTACTTTTAAAAAATGTGTAATCTGGTCTTAATTACTGTGCAGAGTATCAATTTGTTTTTCCATGTTTGTTAATTATAAAATTATCTGAGTCTGTATCACAGGGACTGTTGGATCACAATATTGTATATAATTATATGGTGATTAAAGATTGATCTAAGAATTGAGGACTTCTTTTTTTAAATAGTATCCATTTCTATTTGTCTTCGTACCTGTAGGTTAAATACCTTTACCTACCCAATGCCATATTATATTTAAAATACAAATTTGAGATTTCCCATATTTCTCAGGAATGCTGTACGGTAAACGTGGCCTGACCCCAAGGCTGCACGCAGTCTCAAAAAGACCCAAAACTATTTTCTAGAGAAATTATTATAGCAAGTTTTCATAAGAATTTTAAGAAAACACTTTTGGTTTAAAATCCCACATCTTTGTCCAATCTATATGACTGATGACAGGTTTACCTTCTGTCCCAAATGTAATTACTCATGCAGAGGCAATGGAGGGGGCATCAAATGCCAAACTATTTAGATGAAGAGCCTGGTTAAAGGGACACAATTGGCAGATATTGTCCTCCTCCCCATTTTTTGTATTAAATAGATAATGCAGAAAAATGCAACTATAAGGTGTCTTTTATAAAATATCAGCTAATCTAACTTGCCCAAATCTGGCTGAAATTAACATTGTAAATGTAAAACTATAAGCTCCATATTATTATTGGCATTTATATAGTACCAACTTATTCTGCAGCGTCTTACAATATAAAAACACCAGACAAACCATTATACATTGTAATTAGGTTGATGAGGACCCTGCTCGAACAAGGCTAAAGGATCCTGGGGCACACACAGTCTGTGTCGAACTACTCAGAAAGGGTTTAGCACAGATCCCAAGCCTAGCACCAACAGCCTGTTAGCACCATAACCACTACAATGGGTAAAACTGTTTAAAACATGTGTTTTATCATTGCTTAAAATTTAAATTAAAAATGCATGTAAGAAATCCTGAGTATTATTAATATTTAATATGTATTAATTATATAAACAAAGTCTGTGCTTCAGTATAGCTCCTGGTTCATACCTGATCCCTGGATCATAATTAAAGGCCCACTAAAGAGAAACAGACCATTATATATCTCAATAAAGTGGTCTGGGCGCAGTGGTCCTTTAGTATTAACCCTGAAATGAAAAACATTGTTGTTTGGTAGATATGGCCATGCTTACAATGCAAGGTTAAATACATCTCTAGTGGCTGTCTTCCCAACAGCCATTAGTGGCACTTTCGCCGTGACAACCAAGTCCATCTCGGACTAGCTAGTGTTCCATTGGAGAGCAGTGCTGCCATGCATGTGCTTTTAGTTTGTAATGCTCCTCTACGAGGAACCTTGGACTCTACTGGATTGGTCTGTAAGTAGAATTAGCATAACATCACAGGAGGCAGCTGCAGGACTTGCTCTTGGTGCTCGAAAAAAAGGTGAGCAAAAAATCTTCCCCACCCCAATTTCTACTCAGATTTGGTGGGCTGAATCTAAATAAAGAGAACGGTATAGTGTTAGGATTACAGGTTTAAATTCTTCTCTATTAAAAAATATTGTTTATCCATGGAAAGACCATGTAGATGAGCGAAAGCTAGGGGATTTCACAAACCTTGATGACATGAGTGCACGTTGAACTTCACAAAACATGCCCTGACCTGGTGTCATTCATCGCACATTGTCTGTGGTCATATAAATGGTGGTACTGATCAAAGAGGACAATGTCACTGTCAAATGATCGACTAAAATTAGGTGTTTAGTTATATATATATATATATATATATATATATATATATATATGGATTGAAACCTATCATATAGAATATATAATATGCAATCTTTTATTTAATTTTAATATTTTTTTTTATTATTTTAGAATTCACAGCGTTGATATGGTTTCTACCTCTGATTCCATTCAAGTGACATACTTAGTGTAATCATTTCCATGATTCATTGTGGTAAAACCCAGTATGCTGTTTTAGAGTAACCATTAATATCGTGTTCTCCATCCAGGAAGGTGTACACATGTCAAGCTATTGTATTTGAGAAACATTTTCAGCATTATGTGACTTTGCTTTGATCCATTCTCTGTGAATTAATATTTCGTTCCGATGATTCCATGGCAGTACACTGTGTTCTGCATACCATAGTTTTCCCCTAATGGAAAATATGTGGAACGTGTTCAATAAATTTTTAAATGTACCTCATCAAGAACTGAAAACTTAAATTACTCCCAAGACCTATCTAAGAAAGGGATTATAGCATTTGGACTGAGAATCGGCAACATTTAATGTATCCATAGCATCTAAAAAACGATGGATTTGGAACAATGTTACCTCTTAAATAAATTCAGAATCAGCTCGTTTGGCTTATGGAATTGTGATGTAATGCTGTAAGTTTGTTAAGTGAAACAATTACAATGGTAAATGTAAACTCTTTCAACTCACCTGCCAGCTCTCTGAACTGAACCCCAAAGTGAGAATCATCGCTAGTTTCACCAGCATGCCAATTCTTCACCAACTTTCTGGACTGTCCCCTCTTTCACCTCCTTCTCTACATCTATAACATTCATCTTCTGTTCTTCTACATGCATTTACCTTTATGTAATGTCCAATTCCTGCTCTATTACATTCATTCACCTTTATTCAAAATTCTTTCCTCTGCTCTTTTACATTCATTCCCTGTTATGCTACATTCACTCGCCCCCATAAAATGTCCAATTACTGCTCTGTAACATTCACTCACCTCCATTCAAAATCTATTCCCTTGCTCTTTTACATTCATTCCCTGTTATGCTACATTCACTCGCCCCCATAAAATGTCCAATTACTGCTCTGTAACATTCATTCACCTCCATTCAAAATCTATTCCCTTGCTCTTTTACATTCATTCCCTGTTATGTTACATTCATTTTCCTATATGCAACATACATACCTGGTTCTGTTACATACATTATGCTCTCTGTTAGATCCATTCCCTGCTGTTTCATTCTTTCCCTGAACTTTCACGTACATACTCTGCTCTGTTATACTCATTCCTTATGTTGTTTCATTCATAAACTGATAACAACAATTATCTACTCTGTAACATTCATTACCTCCCTGTTACCTCCATTACCTATGCTGTAACATTCATTAACTGCCATGTGAAGGCCATTCTCTGCTCTATTACATTTATTCCCTGCTCTGCTCTGTTAGATACATTCCCTGTTCTGTTACATTCATTAAGCACCATCTAAAAAGTATTTCTTACTCCAGGCATAGGCAACCTTCAGCACTCCAGATGTTTTGGATTACACCTCCCATGATGCATTATGGGTGTAAGAGCATTATGGGGGGTGTAGTCCAACAACATCTGGAGTGCCGAAGGTTGCCTATCCCTGCGCCTACTCTGTTACATTCATTTACTACCTTGTAACATCCATTCACTGCTTTCTGACAGTTCTTGCTCTGTTACATTCATGCCCCACTCCCATACCAACTAATATATTAACTTATTTTCGGAGTAAGAAAACCTATAGCATTTGTATCAAGGGTTGACTGGGATATAACGCCTGATCTGTTTGAGATGCAAACATGGAGGGACAGTATTCCTTCTCCTGGTCATGGTGCGTTATACGAGATTCTCTGTGCTCTCATTAGAAATAGTGTGCACCTCCGGTGCTCCAGTAAAGGAATAAAGCATTACAGACCCCGTGGCTTACAAATGTACCATGCCTTACATCCCAAGGGCCTTAGTTGTCTAGTTATCACTTCTTTAACCTTTACTTTGCTTGCTGTAACAGGCAGAGCAATGTGTGCCTTCCTCATTATTATGGGTTAAATATCCGAGAAGAAAATGGAAGACAAACATGTTTCGGGTTTGGTTTTCCACAATCCATTACAAAACTGACACATAAAGCAATTCTTTAATATGTTATTACAAAAAAAAATGATATTCCTTTGGTGGTAAACACCCTTGGCTCTCAGTGCGAAGTCATATTAAAGTAGAAAATCTAGATTCACGAGATTTCTCTCTACCACTAACAACAAACTGGGAGCTGTCAAATGCCTCTAATAGATTTTTAATTTTCATTTTATTTTTAAGTGCAGATTAATATACTCTCTTTAAGTGATCTACACTGTATTTCTGGGTCTTTTTCACTAGTATAAGACGATGTGAGACTTGCTGGTTTGGCTGAAAAATTATGAGGAAATGCCAGAGTTAAGTAATTGTTTGTGTAGTGGGATCAAACAAACCTTTCAGATGCCAAAATTGTCATCCAGATAAAATCTTTATATTTTAGTTGTGACCTCTCTTGCACCCCGTATATCCCAGTAAAAAAATATTTTCTAATGAACAAACTACAAACAAGTACCCTCTTACCAGTGGCTGGACCCCATCCCAATCATTGTGCACACAAAACTATAATTAGTCACATTCACATATTGTCATGGAGCTGGATAGTTGTATCGGCGTGACCGAGCCTGATCAGTGAGGTCATGCCGATACTCTAGCCGCACTGAAGTCCCCGGTCCACGCGGCCACAAATAAGCAAGACGGTCAAGCCAACAGGGGAAAGAATCACTTACCTGGATCGCGGCGGCTTGCCGCCTGATCCTCCCTGAAGACGAGTCCCGGCTGGTTTTGGTGTTTTAAAGGACGCCGGCCGCTGCGGTCCTGTTCTTTATGAAAAAGGGCACACTGCCCACATTAAATATGGCACTGGTGTGCGTGTGAAGACATGATGTCGAAGCACACACACATTTTGGGGTCAAAGGCCATTTACTGACCAATTACAGCACTGAGAGGCATATTTAAACCCTCCTATTCATTTTCCCAGTTCCCTGTCGTGGTTTCCACTTGTTGGTTGTCTGAGAGTGCTTTTCTGCTCATTAGATTTTTCTGGTAGTTGACTTTCGCTTGTATTCGACTTTCCCTACTTCTGGTATCCTGACTTTTGGCTAGTTCTATGTTTGTGTATTTCTGTATCTTTGACTTCGGATTGTTTTTGACTATTCTCTTACGTTAAGTCCGGCCATTCTAAGGCCCGGTATATGTATTTTGTGTTTACATACTCCTGCGTGTTGGGTCACTAGTAATCGTGACACATATACACATACATAATAAGCAATTCAAACGCATAAATAACTTGATGCATAATAAAAGAAAATGCTAAGAAAAAAAAAATGGAGAGCTTCAGTATTGTTGTGTCTGGGTATGAGAGGATGAAACAGGCTTTTAAAGCACCCGAAACTTACCTCTCTCTCTGAATCTGTTCATCTATTCTGCCTTTCTGTACTTTTTCTTGTAATTACATAAAACAAAGTAGGGAGTCTTTGTAGGGTCCTTTGCCAAGTCTCATTTTCCCAGAATACTCCCCTCCATGCCATACTCCCCTCCATGCCATACTCACCTCCATGCCATACTCCCCTCCATGCCATACTCACCTCCATGCCATACTCACCTCCATGGCATACTCCTGGTTTTGTGCTGCCCTAGGACAAAACTCATGCACCCCTCAAACCCCGCCGCGCGCGTCCACCACCCATCCCTTCCCCCCGCCCCGCCTTCTAAATACACACACACACATTCACTGACAGATACTCATACACTAGCTAACAGAAACACACACTCACTGACACACACTCACTCACTAGCAGATACACACAAGCAGACACACACACTCACTGACACACTCATAGGCAAACATACACACACACAAACAAACACACTCACTCACAGACACACACACACACACACGCTCACAGGCAAGCACACACTCACTAACAGACACTCACTAGCAGACACACACTCACTAGCAGACACACACACTCACAGGCAAACACACACAAACACTAACAGACATACACACTAACAAACACACACACACTAACAGACATACACACACACTAACAGACACACACACACTAACAGACATACACACTAACAGACATACACACACACTAACAGACACACACACTAACAGACACACTCAAACACATTAACAGACATACACACACACTCACTCACATTTAACACTTTTTTTTAACTCCCCCCCCCTCCTTACCTTTGGGAGTGCTGGGGGGGGTAAGGGGTTCTCTATCTTCCTGGTGGTCCAGTGGCTGCTGGGCGGGCGGCTGGCGAGGGAGCACTTCCCCTGAGCACTCTGCTCAGCTCCCTCACGCGCCTCAGAGTGAGGCTGGGAGCCAGAATATGACGTCATATTCCGGCTCCCAGCCTCACTCTGCGGCGTGCGAGGGAGCTGAGCAGACCGCTCAGATGAAGAGCTCCCTCGCCGCCGTCTGCCCGCCCGCCCAGCATGTCAGTTAGCCGCAAGGCTAACTAGGCATTTGCCCTGGGCATATGGGGGGCGGCTTTTTTTGCCGCCCCCTGGAAAATGCCGCCCAAGGCAAATGCCTTGTTTGCCTCGCGTCTAAAACGCCCCTGACTCACCTCCATGCCATACTCCCCATCATGCCATTCTCCCCTCCATGCCATACTCCCCTCCGTGCCAATCTCCCCTCCATGCCATTCTCCCCTCCATGCCATTCTCCCCTCCATGCCATACTCCCCCCCATGCCATACTCCCCTCCATGCCATACTCCCCACCATGCCATTCTCCCCTCCATGCCATACTCCCCTCCATGCCATTCTCCCCTCCATGCCATACTCCCCTCCATGCCATATTCCACTCCATGCCATACTCCACTCCATGCCGTGTATTTCGTTTGAGATCTCCATCGTCTGTCCTTCCCTGGGTGACAGATGACCCATACAGTTGCCTTTGGCTCTGGGTTCCTGGGCATGTACAAAAAACATCCCTTCCCTAGCATTGGAGTAAGGGCACATGAAGGTAGAGACTACGCATCACAGCCGGAGATAGAGATTTGTCACCGTACTAAAAAAAAGTACAAATGGGCTAAATAAGGGAGGAAAAAAAACATGAGAGAGTCATTTAGAACTGAGAGAGTCAGATGCACATTACAAAAATTATGAACAGCCCATGTCAGGTGGATTTAAACCCTGCCATCTTCGTACCAATGTCCTTTATTGCGTCATGCTAATATGATATACGTCCAAATGGGACAAATGGAGTACATATTTTGGTACATAGTTGGATTGATACATTTCAGGTAGTATAATTTTGATAAAATTCAGAAAAAAATACTATACTGCGATTTTACCAATAGTTTGAAGAGTTACATCATTTCAAGAAAAAAATATTTAAAATATTGCACAAAAAAAAAAAATCACAAAATGTTCAACAATAATATGGAAAATTCAGACCTTTATTGAATACGGATCTAAAATTGAGAGAAGGAGATTGATAGAGTTACCGTCCTGTCTTATGGATAGATGTAAAAAAAGTAAGTTGTGACATTTGCTATTTTATGTGTCCTTTGAACATCCGTTTTCAGTTTTCACATCAATTTTTCATTATGTATTTTGAGCAAACATTGGACTCTAAAACATTTATACATGTACAAATCACTACGTCCCCGCCATCCTATTTACTTATCGCGGTGGAGGGACTCACCTGGCATCCCAGGGAGTCCCCCTAATGCCGATCCGGCCCTCTCGAGCCATGTGATCACTAGGTCCTTGCGAGGACCTCGCGATCACATGGATGGCATAGCCGTCCACAGCAATGCCAGCAGGTGGAGTGCCTGTAATGACAAGTACTCCCCCTGCTACCTGTAAAAAATAAAATGTTTTAAACAATTTAAAATCACATTATATATACTTAGATCATATATATATTTATTATATATATGATCTAAGTATATACATACACATATACATACACATACACTGTCTAAGTGTATTTTAATATTAATATCAAAATACACGTAGAATGATATTAATTAAATATATATATAGCCAGCTCCTTGGTATTGCACCATATATATATTTAGGAGTCTAGCCAGCTCCTTGGTTTTGCACCCCTCCCTGTCACAGGTGCCTCATCTCAGGACCCTATTCAGCCTTGTACTGCAGAGAGCTCGAGATGGAAGGATTTCCCCAAGTGAGTAGCTAATTTAGTAGACAGTTGGTTGTAAGAGTAGGATCTGCCAAAGATTGGGAACATTGACGTTGTGGCAGGCTTATGCAATGTATGATCATATAATGTAACTAAACCCCCATTAGTTTTTGCCTTGATTGGGTGTTTTTAATAAAACTAGCAAAATCTGTCAGCACCAAAGTAGCTGTTTAGTGTGCTTGGTTTTCATTTTTACTATATATATATATAATTTTTATTTTATATATATATATATATATATATATATATATATTTATATATATATATTTATATATAATATAATTAGTGATGTCCCGAACGGTTCGCCCTTCCACCTCCTGGACAGCATCCATTTTACATTCA